TGAGACTTGGTTTACTTCCTGAAGAGTCCAGAATGAAAAGCCCACGGGCAGCCCCTTTCTGGCCAAGTATCCACACAGGCAGCCAGACCGGGCCCTGGCGGTGGGGGTGACCAGGGCTCGGGACCCCTCCCTTCTCTCCACAGATGCTGCAACCCTGGCCGCTGGGCCTCACACACGGGCCTGGGGCTGCCTCTGCCTGTATCAAGGGGAGCAGGACTGTTTAGTCTGCTGGGCACATTCCTGAATTTTTCAAATAAATAGGAGATTATGAGCAACTCAGCCTGATGCTGTCATTCGGCCAGGCCAGGGGCTTCTGAGGCATCCCTAGAGAGGGGCCTGCAGGCATGGCAGGTTAGAGATGTTTGATGAGACTGGGAACTGCTTCTAGCCCTCTCTAGCCCTCTCAGCGGTCCCAGAGAACTTCTACTACTAATAACAACAGCAATGATAATAATCACTACCGCTGTTTGAAAGCACTGATGATGTGTCAGGCACAGGGTAGATTATTTATGTATATTCTTTCAATCCTCACAATAGTTGCCATTCATAGGCCCATTATACAGATGAAGAGACTGAGATTTAAAGCAGTAAAATAACTTTCTCAAAGCCACACGCCTAGTAAGTGGCCATAGGTTGAGTGAAGAGCAGTCTGACTCCCGTGCTCCAGCTCTTAACCACTGGGTTATGCTGCCTCTCCAAGCCCTGAAATAGATGGCAGCATCCCATGCCCTCCCCTCCCAGCGCCCCCCCGCCCCCCACCCGTCGCCAGCCTTTCTGCTGTTCCCAAGGCCCTTTCCAGCCTGCATACAGCCATTCTCCACTGCGACTCCCTTTTTCCATTTCACCCTTCGCTGGATCATTTTATGCCTCTATTCCCTCTGCTAATTCAAACTAATTAAAGTATAAAATAGAATAATTGCTTCCATCCCCATACTCTTTTTCTATCCACCCAGAGTAGAGTTAGGTTCCCTTTCTAGGAGTGGCCAGCCTGAGAAGTTGGGTGGAAACTGGGGCTATCGAGTTTCTTTTCATCTCGTCGCTTGGTTTTCCACTTGGCTCGCAGCCTGATTTTCCCCGGACTTGCTGTCTGACTTCCATTAGACTCTGAAGATATGGGAGTGACTTGTATTCCCTCCCACAACATCTGTCTACTCACTGTTGAGGAAACTGGGTGGACTTTCTAGGGAAGAGCCAGGCATGTTACCAGTGGAGAGCCTGGGCAAATAACAGGATTGGGGAATAGGTTCCCCCAAACTCCCCTGGGTCTGGCTGGCTTCAGACATATTAACAGCATATTAACTCAACTTGTTAGGCAGTGGCACTAATGACCCAACACTTCTGATTAGTCCTATTCCATTTTTTAATTACATTTAATCAACACATACAGAGAGAGAGAGAGAGAGAGATAGAGAGAGAGAGAGAGAGAGAGAGAGAGAGAATGAATGAGTTATATTGAATTTTTTTAGCTCTGTGGGAAAATGAAAGCCTCTATAGGTGGACCTTAAGACTTGAGACTTCATTCTACTCTCACATGGTGTCCTGAATACAATAGGGTGCCATGTTTGCGGCTGGGGAGGGGAACAGAGAGAGCAGAGCTGGGGGGACAAGGCGAAGACAGGGGTGAGAGTAGGCTGCCTGGAGATTTATCATAAAGTGAGGTGACGCGAAGGCCCATTCCCATGATGTCTTGTAAGGTTTCAGGTCTTCCAGAGAGCTCCAAAGCCTTAAGTCACTGCCTCAAAATAGAGACACACTTATCCACAACCACCAGCATTGCTCCCTCTCTGCAGCGTTCCCCCTTCAGGGAAGAAGTCCGTATGAATACACACGGCCTCGTGAACTTTGAAGCCCGCCTACTGTGCTTTGGTGTTGTCTTCTGGAGAGAAGAGTCCCGGTGCCAAGACCTTAGATAAGCCCCTTTACGATCTGAGAGAGACTGGAGACTAGGATTGATTCTCTCCATCTTTATAGGTGAGGAAACGGAGTCTCTCTGCAAAGTTAAGGGGCCAGGCCACCCAACTTGTTAGAAATGGGACCTGGACTAGAACATAGGCCTCCTGATCAGCCTGGGGCCTCCTGGGTGTGCCACCTGCCACTTCACTTCCTTCTAATCACACTCATTGTAACCACCCTCCTGAGTCATGGAATCAGAAAGCCTGAGAGCTGGAAGGGGCCATATAAAATCTTCACATCGACTATTTGTGTGGTGCTTGAGGCACTGGAAACCAGATTCCCATCTGTGGTCTCCACTGAGCCTCATGTTGACCCAAGACACATTGAGGCGAATTGACTTATAAAAGGCCGCCCAGCTAGAAAATGTTGAGATTGGATCCAAATTGGAGCTTTGGACTTCAGAGACAACCCTATTATCTGATGCCACTCCTTTATTTTACAAGGGAGGTAACTGGAGCTGTGTGAGGGCCATACTTCCGGTTATAGCGAACGCTGGGCTAGAACCCAAGTCATCTGACCGCATTTTCATTGGTTGTTCTGTTGACATACATTAAAGCGTTTCCTTTAGGAGATCCGAGCTGTCTGTCTGTGAACACTCTGTGCTCATAGCTGCTCAGACTCAGACAGATGGGCTTCCTGAGCTGTTCTTGGCCCTCATCCCTGGCCCCAGCCCCTGGTGAAATCACCTGGCTACCTATTTTTACATGCTTTACAGCTCCCCGGGCAACAGGCCTCAGATCTCCACCACAAATCCCCCTTAGACTCTGCCTGCTGCTCATAGCTCCACCTGGTATATGTCACCTACTAGAGACAGCCCCATGGCGTTCAATCCAAACTATTCCTATATCTGTTCAGCGTGACTGGCTACTACTGAGCCCCTCTGTCTGATGCAGCTGAGGCAGAAGGGTAGGACACTTAGAAATAAGTGACATCGACACTTGGTTTAGCCAGAACTGATGCTCTCAAAGGTGACGCAAGAGACGGCCTCAAGAGGCCCTTATATTCTCTAACGGCCTCTCATCAGCCTCCATCCCTGGCCTAGGTGTCTTTGGCCACATTTCAAATGCAATTTCAGAAAGCATCCTATTTGAGAAACAGATATGCACCCGAAAAATGGATGCTTTGACTAAGGTCTCACTGGTCACTTCTATGTGCTGTTTCTGTTTTTCCACTTCAGTGGGCTCAGAGCTTTTACCCAAGAAAGTGCTTTTACCCAGGGTTACCCACTGGTCCTCAGCCATACATAATGCCTTTTGCAAATATCATGTATAATGGGGGTCTATTTGATCCCTCGGAACATCCTTTCACCCACCCATGCAGACTGCCATCTATCCATCCCGCCCTCTATCTGTCCGTTTTCTTGTAGAAAGTGTCTGGAATGATGTTCACCAAATGTTAACAAGGTGTTACATGTTGGGTAGTGGGTTTGGGGACTGGTTGTTATCTTGTTTTCCATATGTATTGTTGAAATTTGTATAGTGAGCAGCTACCATTTTTTAAAAAGAAATAACCCTTGGTTTATAAGAAAAAAAATTGGAAGAAAACGCAGAGTATTTATAGATTTAAACCTGATGTTATAGATTTCTGGGTATGTGTCTCTCCCTCGTTAGACTGTAAGCAACTTCAGGGTAGCGACTGAGCCCCGTTCCTTTTGATATTTTCCCTGTACATTGTTCCCAATAAATATATTTCAAGTAATGGTTTTTCAGGGCTCACCAACTGTCTTATTGGAACGATAGGTCAGTGTTTACTTCCAAGACTGTCTTTCCCACTGAAGGTCAGGCAGAGCCTCCTCCAGCTCCACCAGGTCCCCATCTGGACCTGTTTATGCCTCAACTGCAGGGGCCACATGAAAGGAGGTAAGAAGACAGGTGGGTTCGAGAGGATCTGGATGTAATTTGCATGTCATTAGCATATGATTTGTGCCGTCTATTCTCCAGAAGTAATTTTCAAGTTAGAGCTGCATCACTGCTCCACCTCATGCTGTCATGTGCCCATTCGCCTCTTCCTTCTTCCCTCCACTCATCCATCATCCCCGGAGTCAGAATTCTCACATTCAGAGAGAAAGGAGGGAAAGAGAACTTTGGGTGACACTGATCAAGGACACCTGGAATCCTGGCAGAGTACTTTGAGAATGACACATAAGCTAGAAGGCACCTTGTGAAAGTTTGCTGGACTTCTAGCCCAGCATCCTTGTCTCGCCTAAGTCATTGTCCTCAGCACCAAGACAGAATCACAGTCCTTTTTCTCCATCTTTGGCCTTTGTCTTGCTTACCGTGTTCAGGTCAACGTCAAGACCACCAATGCTGCTGAACAACTGCTGACCCACTTATTGAATGAATGGATAAAACCAGCCTTTCCTAAGGACTTTGCTTTCTGCATCTCCATTGATTTGGAGAATCCCCCATCTTGCCCTTCACCATGGCTCTCCTTACATTTGCCTTCTCGCTGCTCACACATATTCAGAGCAGATACAATCCTGGGAAATAATGCTCTAGCCCCGAGGGTGGGGAACCTGGTCAGCGGTTGCCCAGCAGAGGGTAGAATTCTATTTCTCAAGCAGAGCTTCAGCTCCTCAGTGCTGGCCAATTTCTACCCTGCCTCATCTAAGGCGCAGGCCAAGATTTTTATCTCCTGGGGGGAGGCCCTCTCTTGGGTCTGTCTCTCTCAGGATTGGGCCCAGCCCCGGAGGCCCGGATTATTTACACCTCTCTGGCTCCCTCAAGCAGCAGACTGTGGGCCCGGGAGCAGTAAATCTACCTCCTAATCACACCAAGCTGCTCCGCGCAGTCTGGCCCGTTCCTGCGGGGCTGTTCATCACGCTCTGCGACAGGGGCTGTGGCCTAGAGAGAAGCCTGCGGGAAGTGGCTGGCCCCCGATGCTTCTCTCTGGCTCTCTGCAGGAGCCTCCCTGGACTCTGCCTCTCCCAGGCCCCTGAGTAGCAAGCCCAGAGGTCTCCCTTGTTCGATGCAACAGCTTCTGCATAAAGGTCACAGGTTATCAGCTCCTCTGGGCTTCAGAAAGTAGGAGTAGGCGCCAGCACTTACCTGTCTCTCTGACATGACGTACAGGTAGCGCTGATCGGTGGAGAAGGCCATGTCCCGGAGGATGGGGCTCCCGTCTTTGAGCACAGACACCATCTCATACTGAACCCCGCCATGGGGGGGACCATCAGCTCGAATCTGCACAAGAAACAAGGGCATCCTCAACATCTGCACTCAGCAGTCTCCTGTGGGTGGGCCTCAGCCTCAGTAGTTTTACAGAAGATAATCACCCCACCCCACCATCAATTGCTCCCCTGACCCAGGCGAGGCTGCAGGGAAGACAGAGGTGCCCCTTAGCACAAATAGACCAGTTCCACTAAGACGCATCCTTTCCCACATGCTCTGAGTGTGCAGAGTCTGGGATTTCTATTGGTGGCTTTATTTGTGTGCGTCTCATAAGCCCTTAAGTGTGATTTTGAATATTCCAATGTGGTCATTCTTGTGTGTGTCTACAGACATTTATAGCACAGGATGATGAGTGTATGTGCAAGTGAGTGTGTGCTTGTGTACACTCATTTGAGTTTGGGGCGAGAGAGTCAACATCTGCACAGGGTTTCTGTCTCAGGCACGTAAGGGAGAATAGTGGGACAACACACAAACCACCAAAAAGCTGGCCAAGAGGTGCAAGATATTTGGATCTTAGGAAGGTCTGTCTGCTCCCAAACAGCCCCTGAATGTCTGCAGATCCACTCGGTGAGATCTGGTGAGCCAGGAATCCCAGCTCTGGCTCTCAGAGCCCATCCCAGGGTCATAAGTCAGAAAGGACTTGGACGTCATCTCGTCCAGTGCTTCTCAGTCCTGGCTGCACATAAACATCATCTGGAGAGTTTTAGAAAACATGGATGTCAGGGCTGGGTCCATTCATCAGGATCTCTGTGGTTGGGGCCTGGGCATCCTTTTTGCATTTCAAAGCTTCCCAGGTGAATCTAACGAGCAGCCAGAGTCCAGAATCACTGATGTAGCCCCGTGGTTCTCAAAGCCTAAGAATCACCAGGGGAGAGGGTTGGTAAATGCTTGGCTGGGCCCATGCCCAGAGTTTCTGATTCGGTGGGAATAAGGCCTGAGAATTTTCATTTCTAATAAATTCCCAGGTGATGTGATGCTGCTGATCTGAGGGTTTGAGAAGCACGAATCTAGTCTAAGCAGCATATGGATACAATACTGAGACTCGGTGGGGAGATGTCCCTAGGTCAATGATGGTGAACCTATGACACGCGTGTCAGAGGTGACACGCGAACTCATTTTTTTGTTTGTTTGATTTTTCTTTGTTAAATGGCATTGAAATATATAAAATAAATATCAGAAATATAAGTCTTTGTTTTACTATGGTTGCAAATATCAAAAAATTTCTATATGTGACACGGCACCAGAGTTAAGTTAGGGTTTTTCAAAATGCTGACACGTCGAGCTCCAAAGGTTCGCCATCACTGCCCTAGGTCATCCAAAAGTTGGTGGCCGGGGTCCTTGGTTCGAATGTGTCCCCATCCTAGGTTTCTTGTTCCCAGCAGAGCAGTTGACTGTTGACCAACAATCCTTACCGGTGGCTCATTTCTTTGTCCTCTACTCCTGGAAACCCCTCTAACTCAAGCCCCATCTCCTCCATGAAGTCTTCCTCAATCTCTTCCCCACACTAATTGCACTTCACTCAGATGCCTTTTTCCCTACCAGACATTTTGTCCTAGAATTATAATCAATTGATCTGTTCATCATATATGTACTAGCTAACGTGAATTGGTGACCTATTTATTTTATTTAAAAATATATATATTTTATTGATTTTTTACAGAGAGGAAGGGAGAGGGATAGAGAGTTAGAAACATTGATGAGAGAGAAACATTGATCAGCTGCCTCCTGCACACTCCCTACTGGGGATGTGCCTACAACTAAGGTACATGCCCTTGACCAGAATTGAACCTGGGACCCTTGAGTCCGCAGGCCGACGCTCTCTCTACTGAGCCAAACCAGTTAGGGCTGGTGACCTATTTAAATTGTTCTCTAACTGCTTCACATGTGCAGATGTCCATCAACATTTCTATTTCTCTCATAACCCTCTAACCCTGAAGACTAGGATGGGGCTGGGGACATAGCTGTTAATGGATAAAGGGGAATGCTTGAAAAATACTTGTTGAAAGGACATGAACTACAAACCAACTGATAAAGTATTATGAACTCTTTAGTGCCAAATCCAAATGAAGTCAAAAGACATTTTCTTTGGAAGATTTTAAGATTAAGCCTTCTTGTCCCAATTCCCTTTCTAACCATCTCCTCCCCTCTGCCCCTTTCTCCCACCCCATGGAGAGCTCCTTAGGGGAGGACATGGCTTATTCATCCCAAGGGCTGAGCCTGGTGCCTGATGCCACAGGTAACATGTCAGGATGGACAGGTGGAGGCATCCTCAGTTCCTACTGGCCAAGTAGGGAGGGTTAAGAGCATTACTTATTGCAGAGTTGGGGAAGGAGGACCAGTGCTTCCATTCCTATTTCTCTACCCTCCTGACAATGGCCTACTTGAAGGGCCTGAGCCAGGGCATGGTCTGTACCTGCTGCAATGGAATTGGACTGGAGTGGGCGGGAGGTAGACCATAAGCCCACTGTGAATGGGGAACCGTGTGGCCCTGGATTTCCTAGTGGCAGAAACAGCAGATTCCTGCCTGAGGCCTTGTGCCCAGCCCCAGAGTGAGAATAGTAGAGCAGGGCCTGGAATAGGGGATATTGTTTCTTCTCATCACTTTGATGGTTGAGATGAAGATGAGGAGGTAGCCTCAATGGAACCAAAGAAATTCTGCTCTTAGCCATTCCTACCCAAGTACCTCCCTTTGTGGGCAAGACTCTCCTGTTTCCCCTAAGCTTCTCCTTTGCCTCTTTTCTGCCTGGCTAGTAGCTTCCTGCTGTTCAAAGCTGTTGCCTTGGCAACTGTCACTAAGCCCCTCCTTCCAGGGAAGGGGCCAGGCACCACTGAATTCATTCTCACAGGATGGAGGAAGACTGTGGGGTCAGTGATGATGCTATGGGGCTGAGGCTACTGCCCTGCACCCTGAGCAAATCTGATTATGGACTCAAGAAGAGTGAAGGGCCAGGGTCTTTATGTGGGAAAACACCCCACCATCAAATTGGTTCCCCTTAGCATTCAAAGCAGCACTCTCTCTCAGATGGACAGAAACCAAATTTCCATGAGACTCTTCCAGAAGTGGTAGCTTTTAGTCACAAAAGTTCTTGTGCTATTGCCAAAGGAAGGGGGAAGAGGTAGCTGTCAGGACTCCTGGTTGGCTTGACCTCAGCCTTCTACTTCCATATCATGGGAAGTCCCGGCTCCCTTCTTCCTCTCAAGAGGAAGTGTCCAGTGGCTCTCGCCACCCTCCCTGCGACAGCTGCTCCTCTCCTGTGAGATTCCAAGACTCTGGCTCAGGCTCAGGAGCTGCAGAACCTGGCCCCCTCCTTCCGGCCTGGCCCAGGATCTCTCTGCCCGGGAGGCCAGTTACCCCTCTGCCAAGCAGAGCAGCCTCCCTCCCCACAAGCCTGGGCACCTGCCTGGACCCCCAGCAAGGCCTGGACACAAAGTCAGAAGGAGGAACACCACATGCCTGGCCCTCCCTCTCTGGTGCCTGGGACTAGATGGTACCCACGGCGAGGTTGAAGCTGGGATTGCGCCAAAGACACCTTTTCATCATCACATCCTCTGCAGCATCCCAGTTAGGACCGACCCCAGCCATTCACCTCTTACTGAATCGGAGACCTAAGCAGATTTGTTGTGTTTTGTTTTTTTATTCCCATCTGCAACCCCAATCTTTTAATAAACCAGTTAAAGCCAGAATCAAATCTGCATAACACTCAAACGTCAGAGCTAAAACCAAACCAGAACAGAAAATGTTCTTGGAGCTGAACCTGAACTAAGCTATCCTATTGCATTCAGTCTAAATGCCCCGAGAGAAGAGCAGCACTGCCCAGGGAGCCCCGCCCTCCTCTGACTCATTCCATGCGGTCTGCCCCCAGCTTGTGTGACTCTCCCAGAAACCTTCAGGAGGGCAGAGAAGATGGACAGTGGGCCAGGAGGCCGGGCGGGGGGAGGGGGGTGTCAAAAAAAGGGGGTGGGGCCAGGGACTGGCAGGCAGAAGGCAGGGGAGGCCAGCTGGCCCACAGCGGTCTTTCCCCGCCCTAATTCCGTTTGCTCCCTCTGGCCACACACCGATGTGGGCAGAGCATGGGTCTGCGGTTCAGGGTTCCTGGGTTTCTGGTCTGGCTCTGTTCTTGCCTGGCCTTGATTTCTGCTTACGGGCATACGTTTAGGTCCGTTACCTTGTCTCTCTGAGCCTCAGTTTCCCCCTCTGAGTAACAGGAAGAAGCAATCTGCTTGGGCCCTGTCAGTGGAGAACCACAGACTGTACGATACTGCTGAGAGACAAGGGCTTTGGAGCACATCTCATCCAAACACTCCCAATCAAAGGACGCAGCTAGTATTGGTGGAACGGGGGCTCCATCTGGCTCCCAGCCGGTGTGATCCAGAGGACGCGCATGGCTGAAGGGGGCTACGGGCTAGGTAGGAGGGTCCTCCGGGCGGGGGGGAGGGGGGGTAGGGGTCAAGGTCAGCCAGAGGGAGCAAAGGGAATTGGGGTGGGGAAAGACCTCTGCAGCCCAGTTGGCCTCCCCTGCCTTCTGCCTGCCAGCCCCTGGCCCCACCTCCTTTTCTTGGACCCCCTGGTCTCCCGGCCCACTGTCCATCTTCTCTGCTCACATTGTTCTGTCTTGGATGGGAAGGGTTGAGTTTCAAAGTTGTCCCCCATCCCTGCCAGACCCAGGGTGATAGTGAGGGGCTGTCAGAGAGTCCCAAACAGAAGAGGGATTTTAAAATCCACCTGGTTGAGTCTATTGTGTAGTGGCCCACAAAGTGACAGTTCCATTCAGTTTGAAGCTTGTGTCCCCAGGGCCAAGTTTCAATGCCCAGAAGACAACATTAAACTGCATTAGGCCAAGACCACATGGCTAATAAGGGTGGTAGAAGGGGATTCATTTACACACAAACCTTGATTCTCCTAAGAAAGGATAACACTGGGCCACTCTAGCTGTTCATTGCGGCTAAATGTCCAAATTCTCTCCTTGCCCACTCTTCCTCCTTCAGACCCCAAGGCCAAAGTGGGACAGTCA